ATATAAAAAGTTATAGAACTTTTGTCATAAATCTAGGCGGTATTAAGTTTCAGTGTAATTTATTTGTGCACGATTCGCGAACATAATAAAGAAGAGCATAATCTGATGATTATCAATTTATACAATCAGAAATTGTCTTTAAAAAACCCAGTGGACCTCTACGAAAAGGAACTGTAGTGGCCAACAAGATTTTTAACTCTGAAATCTTTTTACATCTGAAAATTTTTACTGTTATGGTTATTATTTTTTTCTCTTGTCTTCAAAAAAGAAAAAAAATGACAGAGAGTGTGAGAGAGAGAGTATCCTAATTAAATTCACCCTTGTCGAACACAAATAAATTGAAATGCAGTCAAAATTTTAATGTCTTGCAGATGTCCATTTTCACTCACTTTGAAACATTAGTCACGCATTTTTTAACCTATATATCGTAATTATAACCTAATATCGCGTGCGATTTTCACCCAAAAGCCATGACGTCTGCAGCGCATCTCCGAGACGGGTGTACTCAATATTCTTCTCTCGTGGAATGAATGTGTTATTGCAGAAAATTTCTTTCTCTCAAGACGACAACTGAAAACTTTGGTAACATTTTTTTAACCACCATTGAGATCATCAAGGCCATCAAGATCATCACCATTACAAATCTCTGACATGAACATCACTTCCGGCCAGTCATATATTACTTCATGGGACCTAATTTGCATATAAGAGTAAAAATGCATTTTTTTCACTGATTTTGACTTATCTCCAATTTTTTCATTATTCGCAAAAAGTAATTTTTTTCCTTTTGCTCAAAAATCGGAACGCTTTTGATCCACACGCAGTTTATAATATATATAATTAGAAATAACTTTTATATCACAGACGTGTATCACGTCTTCACCCCACAGCCATAAAACTCGTCGATAGCTGCATGGGTATAAAAGTAGGTCAATTGCCTGTATAAAATTGCCATACGATTATTGATTTTTTAGTGTGGACCGTTTTAGGGGGAGTCAGAAGGGGAAAATGTATCAAGATGCCAGCAAAATATTTTGGTATCATAGAGTTACTGAAAGGTAGAGTATATTGCGAATTTTAAAGAAAAGAGTAACATTAGCCCACAACTCCAGCTTCACTATGTAAAACATTGTAGATGCAACGGTCCCTCTCTATTTCATCTGACTCTCCCTAAAGTTTTTCAGACCGCGTTAACTGTTCAGCTCCCGGGAAGCGAGAATCATCCAGCGTGGTGGCAGACGCTGAGCTCTGCAGACGACGCATTGCATTCACAAAAGGGGGTAAAGGTTTTTAAGGAAATATTGTATTTTATTACATCTGACGAATTATAAAGGAAAGAAAATTGGCTTATCTGCATTTATATTTACTAAGTGGAATGAAAGACACTAATATTTCTCAAAATTGT